GTCTAAAGTCTCAAATCACAGCTGGAAGTACACTTACTCAAACTGTCCACAAAGGTGCATTATTTCTTCAAGAGGAAACAACTTCACAAGCTTGTTCAAAGGGAAGGAATTCTTGATTTTTGCAGCTAGACTACAAGAGGTATCTTATTTTAGACTCATTCACTAATATACATCATCATGTGTTGATTGTTTGTAAGATTAGCTTGTATATTACCATGTTGAAATAGTTTGTTAGTTATACTGCCAAAATGTATGATGAGGCTAGACTTGATATGGTTGTAATGAGATAATGTTCATTACTGCCAAGAACATGTTCTCCTTGTTTAGTGACTATCATTAAGGTTTGATTGATGTTGCCTTTAAAGTCTTGTTTAAGGCTGCTGCTAGGTGTGTGTGTGTGTGTGTGTGTGTGTGTGTGTGTGTGTGTGTGTGTGTGTGTGTGTGTGTGTATGTGTGTGTGTGTGTGTGTGTGTGTGTGTGTGTGAATCTGAGTATCTATGTTATCTTACCTTTGAATTCTGTTTGAGGTGCCATAAGCCTGATTTGGTTTTACCTAGTGATTAGGTTGTTTTCTTGAAGTTGACTTCAGGACCAGTTTTAGTGCTCTGATCTTAACCATGTTACTTTCTGTGGTGAACTCAACTTAGTGAGTACTTGGACTTGCCAAGCACTTTGTGGTGGGCATAGGACTGTTTTTAGTTTATGCATAGGGTTGTCTTTAGAGTTGGTGTGAGAGATGGATCTGTTAACTCCTGTTGAGTACATAGAGTGGTAACTCTTTATGTTGATGCATCCATTTAGACTTGGCATGGTAATATCAGAATCTTGTTGTTGCCTAGTGCTAGTGTTTTACCTTTGGATTGTGGTTTTAGGCTGTTTAGGTTTTAGTTGATTGGTTCAAGTTGGTTTTTGGCATGCTCAGGTCAGGTTCTACTGTCAATGTTAGTGTTTGAGAACTGAATTTATCAACTTAGTTTAGTTGCTATCAGTTTAGTTCTCATGATAAGGGAGTTGGTTATTGTTGTGGTTGCCACCTAAGAATGTTGGTTTGAAGCAGAGATGGAGAACCAGTTTTTTTGGTCATGAGGGTTGTGGATTTTTTAGTACAGACAGTGAGAGTTTAGCTTGAGTGCCTCAGGTCTGATAAGCATTGGTTGGTGTTATAAGTAGGCTAGTTGAGTATAGAATTTAGTAGGTTCCTCTACTGTCATGGTTGTGTATTTATGTGTTTTCTAGTTGACTGCATCTATGTGAGTCTCAGTTTGTGACTTTCCAACAGTTTTTTAAGTTAGACCTCTGGCAGTTTTTTGGTTAGGTTGTTGAGACTTTTAGTGAATGATGATTGAAAGTCTTAATGCATTTGAGCTGCTATTCAGGCCTGTTAGCTTATCAATCCTTCAAGTTTTGTGTCTGAAGCTTTTAAGAAAAAAAACTTTGAATGTTTAAATGTATTGCTTTGATGAATTTCAAGATCAAGAAACATTGTTGATGTTGTGAATAGGGTTGAATCTTTTGAAGAATGATATATCCCAACTGTTTTTTTGAAAAAAAACTCCCTTTTGCAAGTCATTGCAACTCATGTGTGACATGCTAATTTAAGCCAAAACCTGGATCTTCTTAGCATTAGAAGTCAATGAACAACATATTTGGAGCATGTATAAGCCTTCAATCAGTTCTGAATTTGATAATTTGGATCTCTCATTGATATGCATCATGACTGTTTTTGTTCCTTCAGCGTCATTTTAATAGTTTGCAACATGGTAGTCACTTATTTATTTGGCAAGAATTTGAACTAAGTCTTTGGTTGAGTCTCATTATCAAACTGTTTAGAAGAGGTGCATACCTTTATTTGGTCTTGTCTGCATCAGTTTTGATCATTAAAACTCAAAATGCATCTCAATGTCTCTCCTTGCATGAGCATTCTTGTTTTTCTTTGTGTACAATATTTTAAAAAATGGATTGCACCATCATGTTCCTCTCAAAAAATCAAGCAAATTAGACTAAATTTTCATGAGATTTGGTGGAGATTTGAAGAAGTTATGATGAAATCGTATTTGCCTTTTTCACTTGGTTCTTGCCTTGTCAAAACCCAGAATTTGCGCTTTGTTTAGGTATATATGCAACTGGGGTGGCTTGATACAATGGATGTATCGACACCCCAGTGGTTATCACCTTGTCCTTAAGTATCCTATCATGCGCATTATCCTTGGTTTGATCCTCAGTGAGGACACTTTTTTAGCATTTTATTGTTTTTTTAGCACTTTTAATATTTAATCTTTCTTTTCCATTTTAATTCATGCGCGTGCTTTGGTTGATATGATAGAGGTTTTGATTTGGAAACCACCAGACACGGGTTCAACCCTTAGTGTGAGCTTTCCCTTTATTTTTATTACTATTCCTTTGTTTTTTTTTCTTCAAAATTCAAATTAACACAAATTCTTTATTTTTAATCATTTTAAAGTGATTCTTTTTTCTAAATTCTTGTATCAATGTATATTTTCACATGATGTTCAAAGAATTCTAAAATCTCATTTTAGAAACACTTTACATTGTGAGAGAATTGTAAATCATTTTAGGGTTTTCACACTCCTATCTCTCATTTTCAAACTTCGATTTTATTCCTTTTTAAGTTTAAATTGGAAGGCGACATGAACTTGGATTGTTGTCTCCCTTGTGCATTTAAGTTTGAATTTCAACTTTGCTTGTACGCATTTAAGTGGCTCACCTTTAAAACTATTGATTATCCCCATGAGGTTTTGAACCTTTTGTTTACATTATTGTGACATTGTGTTTACATATGATATCCTTTACCTTTACCCCTTTATCCTAACCTTAGGATTGGAGTCGCCGTACTCTATTTAGCGTTCCGACGTGGAAATTCTTTACCTTTTATCCTAACCTTAGGATTGGAGTCTCCGTGCTCTATTTAATCGTCCCGCCGCAGACATCCTTTACCTGTTATCATAACCTTAGGATCTGAGTCGCCGTACTCATATTTAGCGTCTCACTGTGGACAACTCTCTACCATAACCATCTCAACATTGATTCAGGAGTCGCCGCACTCCATGTAAGTAATTTCCTATGAATTCTTACCTCCCTTTGGAATATTGACCACAGTCAAGAGTTCCTCACCCCCACCAGGGGAACTACGGTTGCTCTGATTCCATTCCCGTCAGGATACGTAGGCACGAGATGCGATGTCTTCGCGAGCAAACTTTGTACATACTTTATACTTTATATCTTGACCCTTAGCACTTTTCCTTTAGCAAGCAAACTTTACCAAACAAATATTAACAAGAGGTTCCTGTAGAGTACTACAGATGTTTAGGATGTGAAATACCTACCCTAGGCATAACCAACCCCCGAACCTTTAGATGTCTCTTTACTTAGCTTTAAGTCTTGCTTTTTGCTTTGCATTTTTATAGGTTTTTCTTTCTTTAAACCTTTCCTTTTTGGATAAATTAAAGTCCGGTTGTGAACTTAAGAATTAAAGATTCAAGTTAATCAATAGCTTGGTATCACGATTTTCACCGCAACAATGGTGCACTAGCCCCGTTTTGGCATGGCAGATGGTGTAGTAACAGGCCCCTACAAAATTTGTTTCATGGACTTTATGTTATTTCTGATAAAAAGTTTGATTCAATGTGAGATATGGGTTGTTAGGTTGGGGAGATGTGGAATTGGCAGGTGGATTTCCAAGGGTGGGAAGATGACGACATTCTGCAGAATGAGTACCACAACTTATTTCCTTTATTTCATGAAGTCTCACCCATTATGCATTGTTTAGACAGAGTTTGGTGGCCATTTGGCTTGTCCAAGCACTATTCGGTGAAGTCGTATTATCATATGCTAATTATAGCTATGATAGGAATTGATCTAGATGAGGTGTGTAAATTGGAGGTGCAGGTGGTTTGGAAATCACGAATTCCACCCAAGGTTAAGATTATGGGTTGGAGATTACTTATCGACAGGCTTCCTACGCGTCTTAACTTGGATATTCATGGTATCATTACCAACTCACGGGAAATGGTTTGTGTTTTTTGATTTATGCAACACGAAGATTTTACTCATCTATTTTTAAATTATGCTAAAACTAGGGCGGTATGGAGACAATTTTATGCTTGGTTCGAGATGGAAAATATTATTGAAGATATGTGTTTCAACCATATGTTATCTTGGATCCTAAAGTTGAAAGGAAAAGTTTCCTTGGCAGACACGACTGGTATGTGGTTGTATTTGGTGAGTTAGAAACCAAATTTTGTTTGATGATGCATTTAAAGATCTTGATATGATTATGCAAAGGATTTTTATTTAATTTGTTTGGTGTACATTGAATTGTTGGTGGTTGTAATGGGTTAAGGTTCCCTCAATACCTTTGATAAATGAAAATCTTGCTTATAAAAAAAACTATTTAAATTCAAACTAGTCATAATTTGTTTGAATAAAATAGAAGAAATTAATTGCAAAAAAATGATGATAAAAGAAAAGAAAGAAAGTTAATTAAAATGTGTTTAACGGTACAAAAATTTGTCAATCTTATGATTTTGTGCACAATTTGGTTCAAGAAAATGACATACTTTGTAAGTCCTCAAACCCCAATTTGTCCATGATCACTTGTCATATTCCTAGGAATAATTTTTCTCTTATAATGCAAGATTTAGTTATACAAGTAGATGATATAATGTTCTCAAAAATGAAGTTTTAAATTGCAGCATCTCGGTCTTTTAAACGGTAGAAAAGTGCATGTTGATGCAATACGACCACAATTGCCAACACCATGAAATTATCAAAGATTAGATGATACAATGCACCCAAAAATAATATTTTTAATTGTAACAACTTGACCTTTATATTGAGACCACACTCAAGGCTTTTATAAAAAATTATAGCCACCATATGAGTCACCAGATCAAAAAAATTGGCATAATTGCAAATCATCAACGGGGCCGCAATTTAAAACCATGACTAGAATCATAGAATCATATAATCATCGTCCCCTTTCATTTTAACAAATGCGGTATAAGTGATGTCAAGAGAGGAAACAAGAGCACAATAACAAAAACAATACCAAGAATTATGGCATAACATGTCCACTTCCTAGAACTCTTTTGTTGCACTCTAGCTTCTTGAAGTTGTTCTGTCCCCCTTTGTACAAAAGAACTAGCATGTGCAACATGACTCTCAATATTATTAAGTTGTTGCCCTTGAGACTCTACTAGAGCAGCCATATCCAAAAACACTTGATGCAACTCAACCAAATTCTTCTCTATTTCCTTAACAGCACCATGTCTTTCTTGAATTTCTGATATTGTGTCCATTATTTGACCCCTGCCTTGTTCTTGAATTGCCCTTTGCATAAAATTTTCACTTTCACCACTTGATATTAAATTCTCTATAGTTTCTTCATCTGCTTTCTCTCCTGTTATTGTAAAATATCTTCTTTCCACTGTTTCCTTATACTCATGTTGCATTCTTGCTCTCAAACCTTGAAACTCATCCATCATATCTTTCAATTTCTTCCCTAATCCACTAACTACCGAAGTTCTAGTTCTATCCGCCGATGAACCTGGACCACACCCTACAATCTTTCTATTAGTCGCATTCGATCGATCCAACGCTTCAAGTTTTCCTTTAATTACTTTAACACGTTTAAGAACTAGTTCTACATCTTTGTCCATTCGGGCGCGAAGATCTTTCATTGTTTTAGCATTGTGCACGGTTTTACTTTCTTCATTAGCTTCTTGTAATTTTCTATACAACATTTCAATTGCTTTCATGTCTGCTTTTATATTCTCGACATCTTCAAAGAATTTGTCGAGATTGACACTTTCTTTATTTCCCGCTTCTACATCATCAATGAAAGCTTGTTCCTTCAAATCAGTGTATTTTTTGAAGGAATTTGAAAACAAATCGTTCATTTTCGCAAATTTAATCAACAATGACTAATACCTTTGTTTTATTTTTCTTTAATATTGAAATCTTCTTTAGTTGATAAATCTAGCAACATAAATTTTGTAAGATTATGATATGATTGTTATCTAACATAGTGTTACATGTTCTTTCCTGTGACAAAAATCTTGAGGTAGAAGGTAGAAGGTGGCGAAAAATACGTAATTCTCACTAAGAAAAGGTAATTAATTATGATAATAAGTATTAGCTAAATTAACTTGATGCTAATTATCAAATCAAAATCAAAGGTGTTAGATGTTAGATTCATCGAAGATTACTCGCATGTTAACAAATGTCATTATTGCTACGAAACGTATCATTAAATAGATTTGGTTTATAAGTTCATCTATTTTTACATGTGTTATCTATTTCTCACTAGTTTGCTCTTTTTAATTTTAACATATAATCTTGGGATTTGGATTTTATATATAAGTTTAATATATTAATTTGGGTCAATTAAAATAAAGACATTTTTATTAAAATGCATATGGCTGAAGTTAAATGCCAAAAATGTCATAAATTAAAAATAAAAAAAACTTCAAATGCTATTTTTCCCCCTCATTTGCATATTTTATTATTTGATTCTGCTCCTTCCGGATGGAACCCATTTTTTTTCTCCGTTTTTTTTTAAAATTTTGAATTTATATTAATTGTTTTAAAATATTTTTTTATTATATAAATTAATTAATAATGAATTAATAATATTATATTAATTTAAATTTTTTATTCAATTTTTTAAAATATTTAATAATTAACTATTTTTAAATATTTAAACTTATTAAATTCTATTGTTTAATAATTAAGTTTTCTCCTAATATATTATTTTTCCGCATTATCAATTTTTAATATTATTTTTTTCTCCATCTGATCTTCTATAAATAGAGGTGGCTAAGACACATGAAATATAATTTTTCTTGTCTTTGTCTACTTCTTTCATACATTTCATAATCATGTTTGTGTGATGTATTGTTTTTTTTAAACAGATAAACACATGAGAGTTTGTTTAAATCCACAATGGAAGTTTAGACAATTAGTTTCTACCATCAACTCAGGATTTCGACAGCTGAGTGGTCCAATTCGCTGTGTTAAAAAAATTGAATATTATTGTTCATCCATAACTCTGACGGATGCTAGCCCATGTAGTACATACTTCTATTATTGGGATCATGTAGAAAATGATTTGGATGTCCAATGTATGTTTTTCACACATAGCGGAGAAGTTAGTCGAGGCGTTGAAGATCCACTTGTCTTAGATGTTGCCGTTTAATAGGTTAACATGATTAATGATATTGTAGTGTTTATCTGTTGTAAGGTTATTAGAAGTTAGTGTTTTATTGTATTAGTCACTGTGTTTTATCTTTATTTTGAAGTCTTTGTTATATTGTCATCGTATATGTGTTGTAGCTAGAAAATTTTATCTCTAAATAAAAGTTGTTGTTGTTGGAAAAGGAAATACACGATATTATAAAATATAAGGACGATTCAAAAAAATATAACTTCTCACACAACTACCTAGAAGGTCCAACCTTGTTTGAACATTTTCTGCGCATATGGCCGATTTCGTGACAAATGCCACGCCTCCTTTTTTCTTTTTCAACGTTGTCCATCTCATTTCTAATTCAGCTATTGTTTGGACGGTCTTTATTTTTTCTTTGCATGCTATCATTGAAGCAAAGAGCAAAACCTTCATATTGCGGCCATGTTGTTTCAGTAAGGACCCCGAGGAAGTTCTCTTCGTAGACCTTAAAGACGTTAGAAACTTTGAACACATTAGCTATATGCACAAAATAGTCTTGTTTAATGCTTAAACATGTTGCAATAGCATGTAAGCAACGAACATGGAAATTTGAAATTTCCACACTCACATGTCTGGTTCCTAAGGTCAACGTTGAAATGGGTAATTAGTCTACCATCATTATGATTCACAGTTTCTTGGGCCAGAAAGCAGAACCTATTACGATCAAATAGTATAAAGTCGTGGCTATTTGATTTGATTACCTCTTCCTTAATACCCTTCATGCAGTTATTAATATACACTTGTCCAGAACCCAACATTTCAGTCCATTCATGCCCACTTTTCTCAAACAGTATGCCCAACCTAAAGTATGTTGATTTTACTAAAGTTGTGATAGGTAGGTTACATGTGGTCTCTTATAACAAGATTTGTTCATGACATATATTCCTTGGGTTTTGATGATAACAAAGTATTAAAAGAATAATGGTTATATTTGATGTGTGTTTCATGTATAGAGGTTTTATTACTTGTGTGTGTGTGTGTGTGTGTGTGTGTGTGTGTGTGTGTGTGTGTGTGTGTGTGTGTGTGTGTGTGTGTGTGTGTGTATTCATAATTTGATATAAAAGGGCATACTTGAGAAGCTGAATAGCTAGCTTCTGGTGGTGCAGAATTTCTGTTGTAGGTTATAATAGTAAAAGCCTTAAGATTTCTTAAACATTGAATATCTTAGAAATCTTAAGAGCTTTAGGTCTTTGTTATGGTGATTTTCCTAGATATTTATATCAAGTACACCTCGTTCTCTATTCTGTTGAACATGTTGTTTAACAGTTTAGATCAAAGTCTCTCGCCAAGATGCTTGAGCCATGTAAGTCTCCTGCTATGTACTAGAGTATTGGAAGTCTTAATCAAGTAGGTAGATTAAGCAACCAAGTCTCTCACCAAGATGCTTGAGCCATGTAAGTCTCTTGCTATATGCTAGAGCATTGAAAGTCTTAATTAAGAGGATTGATTAAGCAACAAAGTCTCTCGCCAAGATGCCTAAGCCATGTAGGTCTCCTGCTATGTGCTAGATCAATGAAATTCTTAATCAAGTGGATTGATTTAGAAGAAGTTTTGAATATGTGGGATTTAAGCAAGGAAGTCTCGGAACGAGGGTCTGAGCAGAAATCTAGAACCTGAGGGGTTTAAGCAGGAAGTCTCAGATTCATGGAACTTGAGTAGGGAAGTCTTAGACCATGGTTCTAAGCAAGAAGTATTGGCCCAGAGGGGCTTGAGTAGAAAGTCCCGGGTCTGAAGGACTTGAGCAGGAAAGTCTTAGGCTGGGGGCCAAAACAAGGAAGTCTTGAGTCTGTAGAACTTGAGCAAGAAAGTCTTGAGCCTTAGAGGTTTAAGCAAGAAGTCTCGGACTTAGGGTTTGAGCATTATAAAAGTCTTATGCATAATTCATAAGCGATTGTAATCGTCATTTGATTATAATGAAAATATCTTGTGAAGCAAAAGGATTGGACTACTCTCATTTGGGAGGAACCAATATAAATCTTTATGATTTTTGCTATTATTTATTTGCTCCTGTTAACATTCCACTGCTAAGTATAAATAGAATCTGAACATCAATTTAGATTTTGAACTCTGATCAGACGCAAATTAAGAAAATGGGAAACACAATTCAACCCCCTTTCTTGTGTACTTTTCTCACCTCAAGTTGGTATCATAGTATGATCTATACATAACACTTAAAAGTGGTACAGATAATGATCCTATGAGAAAAGTATGTATGTTAAAGACTTTCCTTTAAGAAGGAATTGAGTTCTACATGAAAAATATTACATTGTTTTTTCTACCATATTCAAAGGGTGATTCTATTGAATTTAAATGATGGAGAAGTTAAATATATTTTTAATTCATTGGAATTGATAAAGGGTTTTGTAAAGGTTTGTAGAATACCCTTGAAAAAGGTATTACTATAGAAGTTGATGGTGTAGGGATGATCAAAGTTTGAAAATGTCTCTCACCAGCTCAGAAGAAGCTTATTAAAAATATCTTCAGAGGTAGATGCATTATGGTAGGTGCTCTATCTCGATTTTGAGTATATCAACATCATTGATACGTCTAATGCTTAGACTATTTTTGAATCCTTATACTCAGATTTGTGGGAATCAGTTATGAAGCTTGTCCAGTTACACTTTATCTAATCTTTCCAAGCAAATTCTGAGAAGATTGTTTTGAATTCAAACTCGAGGCCATATTTATTCAAGAAGTCATACAACTCGAGTTTACCGTGCCTTGTAGGTTTATCTTGCAATCTCCAAATGAAATAAATGGAATTAGATGATGAAAATTTATCTAACAAATTATCTTTCCTAAAGCCTGTTGAAGGATACTTCCTATGGAATGTCTGATGATGAGGAATTAACCTTCCTAATCAGAAGATTTCTTTAACTGGCTGAATGGAATATGACATTTGTTGTTAGAAGAGTAACTTCATAAGCTTACGAGATATTCATATTTTTCAAATGATTTCCCAAATCCAAGAACAAGGAGAAACACTACCAGAACCTAATGTCGGAGGTCTTCACTGTATATTTATTTAAAGATGACATTAGTGCAGGATTCAGATGAAAGAGTAATCAGGCTCTACCAGTCATTACTACTTCTGAAGAAGCATCTGAATCTTGGAATAAAAATCAAGTATTAAAGAGAAAGAGATTATCCCAAATCTATCTTGCTTCAATATTTGATAATAAGGATCTTGTTCTTTAAGGTGATATCTTAAGTGACTCCATTGCTCCTTGATTGAGGGCCATCTTGGAATTCGTGTTAAAGGATAATTCAATGAGAAACCTTCAATTCTTCTTTGTGTTCTGCTAACAATTATATGACAGTGCTTTAATTAGTTTTATGCCAATCTCTGATAGCTAACACTATTTGGTTTTGTGCTTGTCAAAGATTTAAAAGTCAAAAGATTTAATCCAAGACAATGAAATCAATGATTCGGCTAAGAACAAGATCTTGTTCATATCACGACTCATCCTAGACTAATACTCTAGAATGAATTATGGTACTTCTATCAGATTAAGGCATAAGGAAAAGGAAAGCATGTTTGGACCAACATGTATGGACTCATAGAAATATGAGTATCATTATTTAAATTTAGTTGCTGCAAATATCAAAGAAATGAGCAAAGACATCTTCCATGTTGCTTATCAAAGGTTGTTTACAACATTTGATGGAAGA